AGAATCTACCAGGGGAGTGGGGAACACACCTCATCAAGGGTACCTGCATAACGAACATTTGTATACCTAATGCTGAATTGTATCCCACATATTTAAAACAAAAAAAAATTTTTTTAAGTTAGCTGTCAAAAAACATGGGTTTTATTTCCCAATTGACTATGCAATCTTGAGTGTTTTTTAACTACAGAAAATACCAAAAACTCAAAACAGGTCACCTCTCACTGAAAGTACTAGATATAACATTCCATCACAATACCATTAAAGTGCTAAGAAGCACAAAAATGAAGACAAAAACAGAGTCTTTATCTCAAGATTTGTCAACTGAGAATACAGGAGGGTGCAAGCCAATGACAAACCTTCAAAAACAAACCTGTATCTAGAGGACATATTCAAATGTCTGCAGTTCACTTTGAAATGCATCAAAAAATAAGATGGATTGATGGACAGATAAATGACAGGTGATAATATAAATGTCAATGAAAGAATCTATGAGTGATCACTATAAAATTCTTATAACTTTTCTAAAATGTTTACAATTTTTCATAATAAAATATCAGAAAAACAAGTCATCTAGTTCTCATCTGTACCAAAGGATACATACACATAAAAGTTTACAACACATGAATCTGATTCACCCTCTCATGTCAAGAAGTATTTCACAAGTTCACAGGTTGGGTTCCAGAAAGTTACAAAATCAAAATACAGAAAAACAGTTAAATGAAATATTTAAGAAATGGAAAAATGACAAATGACAGCTGGGTAGCAATCTGTTTCAGGTGGTAGTGAAATACTGGCAGAACATATCAGGTTGATACTTTAAGAATAATGGGGTACAATCAGAGATGACTCGCTTAAACAAACATGGCAATTAATGTTATTAAAATTAACTGGAAGAGAAAAAGCAGGAAGAAGTGCTCTACAAATTACCCTACAACTGTTACTTATTATACAGTTATAAGGAAAATAAGGCACCCAATTATCCAGGCTACCGTTGAAATAAAGAGAGATCCCAAGTTACAAATCAATTATAATCATCAATAAATTACAAGATATATCCCAAGAAGTCAGTCTGCAATAATATCTACCATTTGGGTAATTTGTTATGTGCCAAACAGTGAGCTGAATGCTTCTTATGTGTTGTCTTATGTAAGCCTCATTACATTTCTTTGACATAGTTAATACTACCATTAACAGAGGAAGAAAAAGGAAGAAAACAACTAAACAACTTAAACAAGGCTGTACAACTAGTAAGTGATCTAGCCAAGAGTCCTACCAGGTCCTTTAGATTATGAAGTGTATGTTCCTATGCAATATGTTCCTATACAATATGCTATTGTCTTCCAAACCATTCAGATGATCCCATCATCTCCAGAGCAATCAAAAACTTCAACTAAAATGACAAGAAGCTACTTTACTATCAGAATGAAGCCAAATATTTATGAATCCTTAACCTATGTTAAAATCATCAGTATCTTCAATAACCTCACAATACAGTGAGGGCAAAGAGGAACACATCAGGATGAAGAACAATATTATTTTTAAAAAGGAATAGGAAAGCATCTCATAAGGCAGTAATCATTAATTACCAAATTCACTAAATGAATATAAGAGCTACTTGGTAAAGTTTATTTGTTGAGGTTTTGCTGGGGGAGGGAGCAGGTAGGGGAAGCTGTTTTTAAACTGTCAATGGCCTTAATCTCCAGTTTATTGCAGTAACCTCCTCCCATAGTAACACCCTATACTTGTTATCACCCAAAACTGCTCAGCCTCTGAAATTCACTCTCTGAACATAACCCTACAACCTCCCAGTCCATAAAGAAGGAGAAATATAGTAAAATAAGAAAGGACTTGAAGTAAAACAAACCTGGTTTAAATATGAACTCTACCACCCCCTAAACTCTTGGGCAAATTTAATCTCTCTGGGTTTTGATTTAACAAGGGAATAATAGTAAGGATGATGCCCACAGCCTAGGTTTGTGAGGATCAGACAGGATGTATGTCAAGACGCTAAGACGGGGCCAGGTGCATACTAGGTACTCAGTAAGTGTTACTCCCCTTCTCAGATTCACCTCCCAACTTGAGTCCTGCAGCCTCCAGTCTCATTTCCATCCTCCGTTACACCTTACCCAGTGCCTCCAGCTAAAACCCAATTTGGATCTTATTCTTTTGCTCTTCACTGGTTTCCCTGTCTCTTGTTAGGGTAAAGTTCATGTTCCTAAGTATAGCATGCAAGTCCCTTCAGTAACTATTTCTCCAGTCTCAACTCCTACCACATTCTGCTTACCCACCAATACCTATGCAGCTTAAGCTTTAGTGCTAGAGACCTACTGTTAGCTTACATGCACAGAACTGTATCAGTCTGCTCTGCTCCATCAAGTAGAAAGATTGACAGCATGCATTTCACATTGCAAACACTACTCTAAGCTCCTGAGATGTGTATGTGTGCATATAAAATATACATATGTGTACATATAATATACACAAAAATAACATAGCCCTGGTTTTTACAGTTTCACATGACAGATTAGATCTTATAGTCTAACTGGATTTCTATAAAAGCTGGGTCTTGTCTGTCTTATTTACTGCTATATCCCAGTAGGTAGCCTAATACTAGCACATAATAGATATTCAGTATTTATTTTTAAAAATGAACAAATAAAAGAATGAATATAGTGAATGTGAGTGATTAAGTGCTACAAGTTTGATTTGTTATGTGTGTGCATGTGTGTGTGTTTTCTGAGTTGGGGTTTCACTCTATCACCCAAGCTGAGAGTGCAGTGGCCTGATCATGGCACTGCAGCCTCAACCTGCTGGGCTCAGGCGATACTTTCTGCCTCAGCCTCCAAGTAGCTGAAACTGCAAGTGCACACCACTACACTCAGCTAGTTTTTAAAAAAGTTTTTTGTAGAGATGAGGACTCGCTACATTGCCCAGGCTGGTCTCGAATTCCTGGGCTCAAGCAATTCTCCCGTCTCAGCCTCCCAAGGTGCTGTGATTACAGGTGCGAGCCAACATGCCCAGCCTACAAGTTTGATTAAGTGCTGTCATGAAATAGAAGGTCACAACAACAATAACAGCAAAACTCTGCAAATTTTGATAAACTTGACACTTAAAAATGTAATATCAAAACATCTCAGATATAACTGAGACTGTATCATAAGCTTTGAACTCCTCAAGTTAGTCAACCAACACTCAACTATGGAAACAGACTGAATAGAACAGTAATTAACCACATAGTATCTAGAGTCAAAAGAATTCTCCAAGGTCTCTCATTCCTTAGCTGGAAAACCTAAGACTCAGCTCATCCACTTACAAAATGGGGAAAATAGCAGCACAAGCATAGTAGGATGGCAATAAGGATTAAATCTGTGCCAGAGACAGAGTTAAGCCCTCAATGAACCAAGTTAGTATTTGTTGTAGTTGAGTACTTTCTTGAGGAAAAGATAGTAAGCAAATACTTCAAATGAATAAAAATATGTAAAATACTTGTTACTCCATCCATTAGAAGTTTTTACACACTTTACATACTTGAGAACTAAGTGATTTACAACTTACTCAATGTCAAGGGATCACCAAATTGATTAAGGAACACTCAGCCTCATTCCATTAAACTCTAAGTTCCTGCTCAGAGGCTGCCTGGCAAACAGAAAGTACTGAATAAATCTTTGTTGAATGATTCAAAGTATGAAAAGTAGGCCTTAGAAATGAAAATCTAAAATTTCTCCTGTTTACAAATTGAGAAGAATAAAATTCCCATTAAACAAGAGAAAAAAGGTATAAAAGGTTCAACCTTTCCCCTCATCGTCAAATTATTTTTTTAAAAAAGGATTTATAGACTTGTGCAAAACTTGGATAAATCACTCACTCACTGCTGGTCAGTGCCAACTAGAATCCTCTCATAGAACACAAGGAGACAGATGGTCACAGCTTCCCAAGATAATGGTTTCTACAATGAAGCTCTAAGATAGGCAATTTTACTTCTAACTTTCTAACTCATATGGGTGAGTCCAGTAAATGTCAAAACAGCTAATTTCAAATAATCAATATCCTTGGTACTGAGAAGTCAAAATACTTCAATATAAGCCCATTAACTTCCTTTTTTAAACACTTAAAAATAAAATGCATATCCTCAGAGCCTTTGAGGAGAGTGCAGAGAGTGGAGGAAAGGAGCTTGAGGGGAAAAAAATCCACATCCTCTACTGAAACTTCAAAAATATTTTTAAAAAAAGTATAGAGGAGAAAATTTCATGACCCACAGCTTCCTTTTAAGGTATATCCTGCTAGTCTTTAAAATGTGCTTTTAATAATACCATCAAGATTTTCATTTAGGGTGTCGCCATTCTAAACAGTGTTAAAACAACCAAGACAACCTTACTAAATTTCCTTTTTAAAATGTAAACACATGAAACTGCTGCTCTGCTCAAACCTTTCAGTGGTTTCACATTGGGAATAAAAGCCAAACTACTTGGCCTGGTTTACAAAGCACTCTATGATCAACCCCTGCCTACCTTTCTGATTTTACATTCAGCCTCTGCTCCAGTCACACCAGCCTTCTTGCTATTCCTCACAAGCTAATTCTCATCACAGATCTTTTTCAATGTTGCTTGTCTCTGCTTGAAATAACCTTCCTACTCCCTTACTTCACCCAGATTCTGCTCAGACTCATCAGAAAGGCCCTTCCCGACATCCTATCTAAAATCATCTCTCTTCCTCCCTGCTACCTGCTTTAATTTTCAGTTACCTCCCAAATATTTATCTATTACTTTTGTATTGCTTGTCTTTTATCATCACACTACAAGTTTCATTAGAGTAGGGCTTTGCCTTGTTCACCGCCTGGAATACACTAGATGCTCAATAAACATTTAAATGGATAAATATATGAACAAATGAATTCTAACACAGATGATTATTAGTTATTCTAATATTCACTTGCTTTTATGTTGAAACAGAAAATAACTGTCAGCTAATGTGATGAAAAACTGTTTTAACTAAGTACTCACTTGACTGATCTGCATAAGTTCTCAGAGGCACTGCAGAAAGTCCCTGTAGGCCATGAGATATTCGATTGAAATGGTTCCTCTAGAAAAAGAAAGAAAATGTTCCTATTATGTAAGATGTGAATCCAAAACACGGAACTACTGAAGGTTGATGAAACCATAACAATTTAGGGCAAATGTATCAAGTACTGATTATTAATGTAACTTCTATTGTCACAGAGAGGTTACATATCAATTTCTCCTCTTTGACAGTAACAATCATTTAAACATTTCAGTCTCAGCTTGCTATCCCCAACTTATTACTTTTTTTTCCTTTGTTTTTGAGTTGGAGTCTCGCTCTGTCGCCCAGACTGGAGTGCAGTGGCACACTCTCAGCCACCGCAGCCTCAACCTAGGGGGCTCCTGCAATCCTTCGGCCTCAGCCTTCCAAACGGCTGGAACTACAGGCGCGCGCTACCACGCCCGGATAATTTTTGATTTACTGTAGAGATGGGGTCTCGAACCCGCGGGCTCAGGCAATCCACTCACCTCAGCCTCCCAAGGCGCAGGATTACAGGCTGAGCCACCAAGCCCGGCTATCCCCAACTTATTATTATAAATATTCAACAAACTATCTCATATTTAACCCGATTTTAAAAGTATTCAATGGTATAAAGTTTCACTAAATTTTTAGAAAGCATGGCTAATTGTTAGTGTCAGGGATCATTTTAATGACCAAATTAAAGATCGGAAAGTTCTAACTTAAGTACGTGAATAATCTACACATGGTCATCCTTTTACTTGTAATTACTGTTTCCTAACTCTATCAAGTACGTATAGTCTATATTTACCTAGAACAATCTATGAAGGTGTTTCTGAGCCACTAATTAGACAAGGTAACTTAGGAAAATGCACTAGGTAACGTACTCATGAAGGTGTTTCTGAGCCAGAAAATTAGACAAGGTAACTTAGGAAAATGCACTAGATAACGCACAGTTTGACAAACTGCATCATAATCTCCACAATCTATACAGGTATGGCTGCCATTTCCTAAGAACAGTAAGGCACACAGAAACAAAGCAAACAGCTCCTGCTCTTATCACATCAAGGTAAATGGGAGGCAGAGACAAAACTGATGTAAAATGTTCTGTATTCGAAGGCAACACTTGCACCCGAGGTCAGGACAGCAGACCACTGAGCAGCAGAGTGTCAGTCCTGAGTGGTAGTCCCAGCAATGCCTCTCCCTAATAGCATGACTTCCAGGATATAACACTAACTTTTGGAAACACAGGCTTCTCATCTTTGAAACAAATGGATTTAATTACTATATTAGATTTAAGGCCTCTACCAACGTAGAATACAGCCAAGGTTCCACATACACACAATTTGGCTGTATCTGGTAGGTAGATTAAAGGTGTCTTGAGAACCTGCTGCAATTAAAGGCATGGGCCTCTAAGAGAACCTGAGAGATGGCAGTGGACACTAGTTTAAAGATGCAGACACTGACGGGATCTTAGAGGGATTCCTAGAGCTATTTTTATTGGGATTGACTGGGTCTGGGCCATTCAAGAAGTGGTCCCAAGGTTAACTGCTCACTGCAGAAAATTAAGGCACTCAGGTATCAGGATTAGAATTAAGAAAGTCAGAAGACATGAAGGGTCAGGCCGTAAGGCTTGTGCTTCCTCCAGCAAGGTGGACGCCTATGTGTGACCCGGATGCCCCTCGGCCCAGGTCTGGAGGTGAGTTGTGTCCGCTGCATAACCTGAACACAGGCCCGCCACTCGACTGCTGCTGCCGCCGCAGAAAGAGCTGTTGCCTTAGAGCCGAGGCCCAGGCTGAGCCGGCGCAGAGGCGGGGCCGGGGGTGGTCCCGGCCAAGCCCCCCGGCCTCTGCCACCCCAACAGCAGGCCACGTCCTGGACCACTGGGTGGGCACCTCGATCCCTCTGACTCAGCATAACCCCACCCACTCGGCCCTCACCTTGGCCAAGGAGTAGTACACACGACTCCAGCTCTGCATTTTTCCGCCGTATTTTCCCTCCCGTCAACGCTTTCACCTCCGCTGGGCGCCTCAGCCGCTTCGCCAAGGTCTCCCCGCCCTGCGCATGCACAAGCACAACTTACCTCATCGCCCGGGAGCCACGCGATTGGCCCGCGCCATCCCGCCGGATGAAGCGTTCCCGTCATGCTCGGCGTCGTGCGCTGTCGTAAAGAGCGTAGGCTTTGTGGCAGCGGGGTGTTGTGGGACCGTTTTAGGAGGGCCGTCGGGAGGTCTGGAACTGCGATGCAGTCTTATATTTGGAAGACAAAATAAATAAGCGAATAAAACTATCGTTAAGCGAATGCACGCTACCGAAAGTCAAACTTGACAAGTTCTTGGTTGTGCTAGGCATTCCTCGGTACTTTCCATAGACATCTCGCTTCATCCTTACAGCAACCGTGTGAAGTAGTACTAGTATTTTCATTTGTTGCATGAGGCCCAGAGTGGTTGGACAAGACCCCCAAGGTCTCACAAGGGAGAGAGAACTACAGCCATGGTCTTTTAAAAAAAATGTGTTTTACAGATGTGGGGTACAAGTCAGGATTAGGTACATAAGTGGTCTCCTTCAGGCAAAGTTTGAACCTCCCATTGGTTCTCACTTCGCCTGGCTTAGGATCAGGTACCCTTATTAATGCTATGTGCCCCTTCTCTCTCCTCTGGTAGTGTCCCATTACTGCCACTCCCTTTCTTGTAGTATTGTGATAAATGTTCAGGGTCTACTTATGAGTGAGAACATGTGGTACGCAGTTCTTCGTTTCTGTGATAGATCACTGAGTATGATAGACAAAATCCATCCAAGTTGTGCAGCCCTGGTCTTAACTACTGCTTTATAATCTCTCCCCTCAGATGCCATATAAAGTGTGGAACCACGGACTTTGGCATCACCAGCATCATGCTCTAAGTATCTAAGCTGACTGGCACTAAAGAGAAAACACATCATCTTTTTTTTTTGAGTTGGTGTCTCATTTGGTCACCCAGGCTGGAGTGCGGTGGCATGCTCACAGCCTCTGCAGCCTCGACCTGCCGGGCTCAGGTGATCTTTCCGCCTCAGCCTTCCAAGCAACTGGAACTACAGGCACACGCCACCATGCCTGGCTTATTTTTTGATTTATTGTAGAGATGGGGTCTCACCAAGTTGCCCAGGCTGGTCTCAAACCCCTGAGTTCAGGCAATCCTCTCACTTCGGCCTCCCAAAGTGCTGGGATTACAGGCTTGAGCCACTACGCCCAGCCTACATCATCTTTTATTTCTGTTTCCTCAGGATGGAAAACACACCTCTCTAGTAGAAGAAATTAGAATGGGTGAGGTGGTGGATAAGATTTTAGGTTTTTATAAGAGATAGTAGTTCTAAAGGGAGTGAGAAATATTGTCCAAGGTCTGGAATCTGATTCTTGTCTTGTGATAGCTCTATATGTCCTACATGGTAGGTAAAATGAGTTTACCAAGACAGTTATGAATTTAGAAAGACAGATTATTTAAGGGAAGATACACTGTGAAGAGTACAGCAGACAGAGCAGCAGAGAGGTTGTCTACCAAGAAGCAGGGGCTAAAAGCGAATTTTCATTGGGTGGGGGGGTGGGAAGTGGTGTTCCTACTGTGTCAAGGAAATTAGTAATGTGTGAGAGATTTACACGCGGGAAAGTATCTGTGTAATAATATGTTGGGTTCTGCAAGAGAAATCACGTATGATAGGTTTATGAAAGACAGCTGATTGATTGTGGTGTTCTGTTTCTTTAAGGTAGAGTTACTTAATGACTTTTCTATTTATAGTGGACAGCTGAAAATTTACAACAATGTTTTACAACTGGTTAAAAAGCTTTCACAACTTTAGCTGTAGTTAATAAGGTTCTTGTAACATCTGTGAAATTTCACCCTAAGACTCCCTCAGTATAATTTATCTAATTTTTGCTGTCCTAATTGGGCCTTAAATTTCTCTACACTATGTAGTGTGAATAAACTTAATTCTACAATTCTCAAAAGTTCACTGTCCTGACACTGTGCTGGACTCTGTGGATTTAAACACTTGCTAGAAAGTGTTCCATATCTATTTATGCTCAGTTTTAGAGATGAATAACATTCAGTGTATGTTATAAAGACAGTATTGCTGTCAGCTCTGTCCTGTGACAGTATCCCAGACTCCTTTTAGCTTGTGACTCTGCCATCATCAGAACTGGCTTTGTGTCTTTTATTTCAAGATAGCTGCTCTAATTTCTGCCATCATATTCTCATTCCATCTGGTTACAAAATTACAACAGCTGCAAGGGGATCTAGGAAACACAGTCTGGTCAACTGAGTGCCTAGCTAAAATTGTACTAATAAGCAAGAAAGGGCTGAGTGTGGTGACTTACACCTGTAATACCAGCACTTTTGGAGGTCAAGGTGGGAGAATCACTCGAGCCCAGAATCAAGGTTACAGTGATCTATGATTGTGCTGTTATCCCAGGCTTTGACAAATGATCTAGGAGTCATCGTTGCATAGGCACTAAATCTCATAATTGTTTTCTGTACTGTTCTGAGCTTTTGACCTCTACTCTCTTGTTTAGAATTACAATATTGTATTCTTTTTTAAGAGAAAAAAGGATGTTTTGTTTTAAAGACAGCATCTTGCTCTGTCATTCAGGCTAGAGTATAATGGCATGATCATAGCTCACAACAGCCTCAAATTTCAGGTCTCAAGCAATCCTCCTGCCTCAGCCTCCCGAGTATCTGGGATTACAGATGCAATACAGATGCAATGTATTCTTATAAAACAAAACAAAAGACTTCCATTTTTTCCAGCTCTTATTTACAAAGCCTACAAGCTCAACCCAGTGTGAGAAGTCAGGCAGGATGTAGATATTCCTCCATACTCTTTCTCACCTCTTCTACCAACTATACCTCTTCTCCCAGCTAGAACAAAAACAAAAGCCACATTCAAATCAATTAATACAAATATACTGGGACCTGGGAGTGGGGAGGGAGAGGTGTCAACAATAGATAGCCCATACTAGCAGACTACTTTCCAGCTAAGTCAAAAATTAGACCATTATTATTTTGCTGATAACTTGATTCACTTCACTTAAAACTATCTCATGAACAACTTTCTATGTTCATATTAGTCTACAACATTAGTTCTAATGATTACTTAGGTGTTTTTGGACATATCCTAATTTATTTAACCATTTTTTATTATTAGATATTTAGGCAATTATCAATTTTCAACATTATGAACAGATTGTGGTTACATCTTTGTACACATTCTTTGTCATTTCCTTGGAGTAAATTCTCAGAAATGGAATTACTAGGTCAAAGAACAAGCATATTTTAAAGATTTATAATGTCTTTCACTTATTTTAATTCTTAACACTGGTTTCCTTAAGTGAATCAGAAATTCTAATTGGCAGTTTCAACCATCCTTAACTTAAATGGGTTACTGGAGATGAATTACTCATTATAAATGAAATGCCCGGTGGTTCAGCCTATAATCCCGTACCTTTGGGAGGCTGAGGTGAGTGGATTGCCTGAGCCTGTGGGTTCAAGACCCGCCTGGGCAACTTGGCGAGACCTCATCTCTACAATAAATCAAAAATTAGCCAGACGTGGTAGCACGCGCCTGTAGTTCCAGCTACTTGGAAGGTTGAGGCAGAAGATCACCGGAGCCCAGCAGTCGAGGCTGTGGTGGCCAGGAGCAGCCACTGCACTCCAGTCTGGGTGACAGAGTGAGACTCCAAATCAATCAATCAATCAATCAATCAGTGAAATGCCAAGTTCAAAATATTTGAAAAATATGGCCTTTAAAAACACTAACTTTGCTGGTTTTAATAAAAGGAAATATTAAATAAGGTAATCTGCATTGAGGTGGTTTTTTTGGGGGGGGTGTAGTTAATAACACAATGTCAAGGACATGGATTTTACAGTTGAATAGGCCTGGGTTAACTCTTGCCCCTCCACTTAATAAATAAATGTGGAACCTTGTGGATGTTTCTCAATGTTTCTGATCTTCAGTTTCTTTAAGGGCAACACAAGGTGCTAGCTCCCACAAAACTAGTTATTTTAAGTATTCAATACATGATAAAGTTATAGGGTCTGGCACATGGTAAACATTTAACAAAGTGAATTATTTTCTCCCTAGCCCTTTCTCCCTCCTATTAAGCTGAATCTTATTTCCTCCTTTATCCTTTGAGTGTAACAGTCTCAATATGTCTTAGAGGAAAATGCACCTTCATAATGCAAATAGACCAAAAATTTAAATGGTCAGTGAAGTGGCTATAGTTAAGTGCTTTTTCAGAACAGAGTCAAATGGGGACTCCATCCTTTCAGTCTCCTTAATTGTCTCTTCTTCCCCCCCCCCCCGCCCCAGCATCTTAATTTTTAATGTTTCATTAAAACTTGTCCTTAATTTTCTGTTCTTTCCTCCATATATAAGTATTATGGCCATCTTACCTATGTTTGTGGATTTAGAACCTGCCTGCCTACTCCTCTTCTGATCTTCAATTCCATATTTTCAACAATCTACTAAAATGTCCAACAGGCACCTTGGTTTCAATTATCCAACCTCTTAATATAAAATACAAATTTTAGCTGGGCATGGTGGCTCACACCTGTAATCCCAATAATTTGGGAGGCTGAGGCAAGAGGATTGCTTGAGCCCAGGAATTTGAAACCAGCCTGGACAACTTGGTGAGACCATATCTCTACAATAAATTAAAAAATAGTCCCAGTTACTCAGGAGGCTGAGGCAGAAGGAACACCTGAGCCCTGCAGATTAAGGCTGCAGTAATCATGAGTATGCTACTGCACTCCAACAGAGTGAGACTCACACACACACACAAGCACACACACACAAGCACACACACACACACACCACACACACACACACACACATGTTTTCCCTTATGATTAATAGTAACTCCAGGTAGCCTATCATTCATAGTAAAATTTTTGTGGCGATTCTTAATGCCTCCTTTTATCACAGGGCCTAATTGCCCACTCAAATTCCCCTAGAAGCATTTCTAGAAACAAACATTCTAATGCAAAGACTTTATTTTAGATATGATGCAAGGAAGCATTAGAGGAGACAAAAAAGATGGAAACTAAGATATGTTGATGAGTAGATTATCACTGTAGGCAATTGGGGCTCAGACTCACTGGAAGCCTCTGGAGATAGCACAGAGCATGCTTCAGAGTTGTCTTACCAAATATATATCCATCAACTTCCATCAGTCATTGGTTAAGAA